TATAAAAAAACAAATCTAAAAGTGTGGCATGATATGCTTAAGCAATTACAAAACCAACCACATGGAGATGTCCAGAAAACATTGAAGATAAGTTTTGATGTATTAGAACGAGGACATAAGGAGATCTTTCTCGATATTGCTTGTTTCTTCATTGGCAAAGAGTGCAAATTTGCCATGTACATGTGGGAAGAGTGTGGATTTTATGCAAGTCAAGGAATTGAAGAGTTGAAACTGAGATGCTTAATAAAAATTGAAGATGATGGTAAGTTGAGGATGCATGATCAATTGAGAGATCTTGGAAGGAACATTGTTTGCCAAGAAGGACCGCTTGAGAGACGTAGTAGATTATGGGACAACAATGAAGCCTTCGGAATACTAATGGGAGGAAAGGTAACATATGGCACTCTTTTTCTTTGCCTCTCCCTCATATTTTCATGTATTTTAATCAGATCTATTTTAATCTTTTATCTGGTACGAAGAAATGCTCCTACTTTTCAGTAAAAAGATCCATTCATGATTCATGTCCATTTGAGTAAAAAGGTCCATTCATGATTCATGTCCATCATAGAGTAATTGTGACAACTAAATGTATCATAAATACTCCAAGGATGAAAAAGTTATATTATCTCACGATGATTATAGAATATCTCCAGATATTCAAATTCAATGACATAAATTATTTATGTCAAGAATTTAATTACAATAAATTTGAAATCACTTGACTAAGAGTCTACACTAAAAATCTCCTTTACTAAAAGTATGTAATTTTCATATTTAGTTGAAAATATTGACAATATGAAAGACTACAATAACAAATAAAGAAATGAAGATTTCTTGGTCCATAATTATAAATAGGTAGTAGGTGCCAACAATAATGACTAATAGTCAAACGAAACATCAATAATGACTAGCTTTCTTCTACAGTTGAATTTATTGCGGTTCTCCTATGATTTAGGAAACCAATGTTTGATATATTATTTCTCCATTTTGATTTTGAAGATACCCGTCCCTCCCTCTGCTAGTTATATCTATCGGTTTCGTCTTCTTTCCTCTTAATAGATACTAAAGCAAATTCCCCTTAAGAATCAAATTTAAGAAAATCTTACCACTGCTTTTAAGGTCGTTTCAGGTAGACCTTGTTCATCTCATGGATTAGGTTAGGACCGTTAGGTGTATGATAAAGAACGTTTCTTATTTCTCTTTCCTTCTTTTCTTTCATTGCCATTGCCTTTTCCTTGTTACATTTCTTAATAAACATTTTTTTTCCTCTGAAACTCTACACGGCCGCTTTCGCTCAAACTATACCCTCAAATCCCCCCACCCATCTCTTTCCCATGCCCCCTCTCTTCTTCCATCCTCCTCACTCACCTCACGTCTTATAGTCTCTCTCTCCACCCCTCGCCACCTCACCGGCACCCAAAGCTGGTGGTGATGCACCTCGTAACAGAACCACCCCCCACCTTCTCCTCTCTCTCACGGTGCTTGTGGCTCCCAGCCACGAGAGCTCTAGCTCGAGCTTGGGCGAGCTCAACTCGACTAGGTGAGACTCGTGCAAGCCATGAGCTGGGTTTCTCGAGGCTTGCACGAGACCGGCAAGCTTTGTCAACGAGCTCGCTGGTCTCCCAACCGTACCACAATTTGGACCCAATCTGAGGTGGCGACAGTCGGGGACGACCGGTGATGGGGCAGGAGAGAGATAGTGGATGAGAGGGAAGTTTGTGTTAGGGTTTATGGGTTGTTTTAAGGATAAGGTTAATTCAGGAAACAAAATTGGCTACTTCTATAGTTAAGGGGGATGTTAGGGTGCAAGTTGATTTAGAATGGCAAACCTCAAGATGCAAGTTGTAGGTTTCAAAAGTAGGGATCGTATTTGTTATGAATGTGCAACTTCAGATAGCTTTTTGTGATTTTCTTTACACAAAAACACAGCAGATATTAAAACTTAGTGTCTCTCAATGTTTTCACACCCTCAATTAATTACACACATTAGTCTTGTGTAGTAGCCCTCACTTGGTTCTCATACAATTTTTTTAATGACGAGAAAGCCTATCTACTTAGGTATTGTTCAATGAAAATGAGGTCGATCGATTGTCGCGAACTTAAGGCGATTGGAGAGAGCAATTGAGATCTCTCCGTGATTCCTCACTCAAGCCCAATTTGAGTTCACAAATGAGGCTTGGATGCAGTGCGAGTTTTATTAATTTAAGTGCAAAAAAATGTAAAATGGCTTAGAATTGAAATACAAGAAATTGAAAAGACATGAAATGAATGATATGAAACAAAAGTGCGACGAAAGGAAAAAGTTACCAGGAAAATGAAAGATAGATTTCTCAGAGAAGTGATGGGTTTGTGCATGTCTGATTTTTCCTTTGAACACCCCTTCTATCGTAACGCCTATTGTCGACCATTCGATTTCTTGGAAATCTTACCATGGATAAGGCTTAGCTCGACTTTCTGGAATCTCCTCTTATTTTGTCGGAGATAAGCTCCACTTTGTCACCTTTCCAGACTATCTGAGCATAACTTCCACATGCATCATTACTTGTCACGTGGAACACACGCATCAGTTGTCTCATGCATTACTGGCCTCATGAATCTCCTGACACTTGTATACATTATTCTTTGAGGAAGAGATTTCGCTTTTGATTTCTAAATCACTTCAAAATCAAATTATCATAATAACTCGAATCAATTTTAAATAAATCCACGAGTTATTTTTGCCATGTAGTATTTAAAAGTGAAAAACATCTGTACCGACCACTATCCACTGTCCAAATACAGTTAATCAATTGTCAAACTAAAAAAACCACGTGTCTTTCACCATGGACAAAAGTCAAAGTGCATACGCTACAAAATTCGAAAATAGCAAAAGGTAAAACATTGAGATGCGTTTGTCTTAGATTTTCTAAAGCAAGAAGTATCATTCTTTTTATTTTCCAAGTCAAAATCTAAAAAAATTGTTTAAATTTCAAAAGATTATAAAAAAAATTAAATATGCTTTTATATAGGACGAGGATAGAATGATGACAAATTGTGTGAGTCCAAGATTTAAAAAACAAAAACTTAAAAAATTAAAAACCAATCGGAATACTCAATTGATTGATTTGATATACAGGGAACTGAAAGAGTCCAAGCAATTCATCTCGACAAATGCTATGACTACTCTCACAAGCTCAAGACAGACACAAGTGAACACTTTAAAAAGTTACGAAGTTTAAGATTCCTTTGTTTGGGGGAGGTGACTTTAAGTGGAGATTTTAACGAGCTGTTTTCTGAACTAAGATGGCTTCAATTGTCTACCACTAAACTATTTTCAGCAACCAATTTGCATCTACCGAATTTAGTGGTCTTGTGGTTGACGAGCAACTCGTTGATAACAGAGGATTGGAGAGGATGGAGCTCAATTATGGTAAGATGGAAAAAAAAAATCCTCTGTGAATGTTTTGTTTTGTTTTGTCAATCAACTCATTTTTTACAGCTTATTCTCCTTTGTATAGATGTCAAAGCAGCTGAAAGTTCTCAATCTTCACGGCTGCCTTAATTTAAGATGTACTCCTGATCTCTCAGCTTTCATAAAGTTGGAGATTCTCATCTTGACATACTGTTCCAAATTGAAGCAAGTCCACCCTTCTATTGGCAAAGTCAAGAGTCTTGTTTCCTTGAACTTGGGTATGTGTTACAATCTCGAGGAGCTGCCAGAGGAAGTGGGCGAGTTAGAAGAACTAAAAGAACTTAATGTGGGTTGTACTCGTATTACAAAGATTCCTACGTCAATCGGTTCTCTGAGGAAGCTGGAGAAACTGAACGCCTTCAATTGTTCCTCACTGAGAGAAATCTCTAACTCAGTTGGCAGTCTTTCTTCTCTCCAACACCTTAACCTAAATCATTGTGAGTCATTGAGAGAAATCCCCAGCTCAATAGGGAATCTTTCTTCTCTCCAACACCTTAACCTATCTTATTGTGAGTCATTGAGAGAAATCCCCAGCTCAATTGGGAATCTTTCTTCTCTCCAACACCTTCACCTAGCTTATTGTAAGTCATTGAGAGAAATCCCCAGCTCAATTGGCAATCTTTCTTCTCTCCAACACCTTGACCTATTTCTTTGTCAGTCATTGAGAGAAATCCCCAGCTCAATTGGGAATCTTTCTTCTCTCCAACACCTTGACCTATTTTGTTGTCAGTCATTGAGAGAAATCCCCAGCTCAATTGGGAATCTTTCTTCTCTCCAACACCTTGACCTATTTCGTTGTGAGTCATTGAGTGAAATACCCAGCTCAATTGGGAATCTTTCTTCTCTCCAACACCTTAACCTATCTTGTTGTGAGTCATTGAGTGAAATACCCAGCTCAATTGGCAATCTTTCTTCTCTCCAACACCTTAACCTATCTTGTTGTGAGTCATTGAGAGAAATCCCCAGCTCAATTGGCAATCTTTCTTCTCTCCAACACCTTCACCTAACTTATTGTCAGTCATTGAGAGAAATCCCCAGCTCAATTGGAAATCTTTCTTCTCTCCAACAACTTGACCTACGTCATTGCGAGTCATTGAGAGAAATCCCCAGCTCAATTGGGAATCTTTCTTCTCTCCAACACCTTGACCTACGTCATTGCAAGTCATTGAGAGAAATCCCAAGCTCAATTGGGGATTTGCAGAATTTGCAACATCTGGACATTAGTTATTCTGCGAACAAAAAGTTACCCAGTGAAAATCGGTGACTTGTTTTCGCTCAAGATTTTCAAAATCAGTGGCACAGCGATATCTAACCTGCCAGAAAGCATTCAAAATATTTTTTTCTCTCCAACAACACCTTGAACTAAATGACTGCAAAGAGCTCTGGTTGCTGCGTAGCTTCCTTTCGTGACACATCTTTTTGTCAAATATCCCAATCCCAAGTTGCTAGAGCTTTCTCACCCAATTGACCTAAAAGAATTTGATTTTTCTGAATGGGGTCAACTTAAATACATCCCGGACCGTCCCTCAAGATCCTCAAGATCCCCGGACCTTCCCTCAGGATCCTTCAAACTATCTATTGACTCATGTCCTAAGCTGATATTGCCTAATCTTGATGGATTCAAGTACTTGGAAGAGGTGTCAATAAGATACTGCAATTCCATTGAAAGAGTGGACCTTTCACAATTGAATCGTCTAAAACAATTACAGGCTAGGGATTGCGACAATCTAGTTGAAATTCGAGGTCTTGATAAGGCGGAGTTGTTAGAGGCATTGAATATCTCTAATTGTAGGTCCATTAAAAGATTACCTGACCTACCATGCTTCGGGACCCTGAAAGAGTTGAATATCAATGGTTGTCACAATTTACGTGGTGTCCAGAGTCTCGAGAGATTCTTGTCTTGCCGAAGCATATATATAGAGGGGTGCCAATCCCTAGAAAAACTACCAAACCTATCGAAGTTTGAAAATTTAGAGGATTTCACATTGATAGATGCCTTTGGTGTTACAGAAATTCCCGGGGTTGAGGAATCAGGATCTCTAACTTATATAAATATCACAAGATGTGAATCAATTGAGACTTTGCCAGATTTGTCGAGATGTGAGAAGTTACAATCTCTACTGGTACGAGACTGCATGAAACTTACTCAGCTTAGGGGACTTGAAAAGTTGGATTTAATTTGTTGGGATATTTCTGGGTGCATCTCATTGGAAACGGTACCGGAGTTACCTCGAATAAGTCTATCTTCGAATCATGAGGCATGGGAAAATGGAGGAGTGGGTGATAAAATTATGTTGCGATGATAATGGTGTGATAATTCTAATATTCATGTTACATCAACTGAGACGAGTCATGTTTTCTTAATAGAGGTAAGCAAGTCCACTATCATTTTATTTTCTTGAGATTCATAACCTTCTTTTGATCACTATATTTTTTAACAAGGTCTTTCTTGCCAGGTTTCTGCAATTTCCTAATTCCCAGTCTTACATAATTGCAAGAGTGGGGGAGCATGACGCTTCAGCCAAGATCAAAATGTAGATGCAAATGTAGTTGGACGTATATTAGAAGGCGTTGGTCATCTGGTAATATTCTTCATCCTTTAACAACTACCATGAGCAAATAGAGTAATACTTTTCTTGAGGATTAATCTTTTAAGAATTATTTGTTCAACACTAGGTATCTGCTTGATCTGGATTTGCCCAAATACATTTGCTGTTGATTACATTATGGCAATGTTTTTTTGGCTATCCATCTCGGTAAACTCGGGATTTGAATTTTTCATCTATAGGCTGGTGATATTCTGCTACTCAATATTGTAAACTGCACCCAGATTCACTTTTTCAATATGTCCTAAACTAGTATTTTCCTTTAAAATGACCTTGGCCATTTTGAACTCCTTTTGTGAGCTCTTTGACCTGTCAAATTTGACTAATGGTAGATATCCTGTTTGGATCAAACTCCTCTCGATTTTTCGTGATGATAGGAAAGCCCGTCAAGTTTCTTATTACTCGCTGGAGCATGAATTTCTAGTGAGGAAGAGAAACTGAGCTAAAATAAAAATCAAGGTTCAAGTTTTTCTGGTGGGTGATTAAAAACCTTTTGCATAAATGAGACAATTTTTTTGCCTGTTTTGTAAAACAAGCTGGGCGACGAGCTTAAGAATTTGCTAATTAGTTCGCATCCCGTATGATCCTATTATTGTCGTGGAATCATTTTATCACATGATTGATCTGGGTCTAGCTAACTTGGCTGAGGAAATTCAAATTCCATACCAGAGACGGATCAAAATGAAGAAGAGGGCCGAGGAAGCATCAGGGACAGCTAAGGGCCATCTTTTTGTGCCGACCTTGGAGAGGCTCACTAACCAACTGAAGTGTCTTGAGGAAGTTTGCTATGCCTGTGAAGATCGAAGCACTCAATCTAGTCTCAACAGCACACAACTGAATGATTGTGAATGTATTCAATTTCGATGGAATCTGTTTTTTGTATGCTCATTAGGTTCTACCTCTCTATTCATCTTACGCTGATGTAGAGTTTGATGCAGTTGTGTTCTCATGACGTCATTCCCGAACTCAACGAGGCTCTGCAGGGGAGGTATGCAATGCCATTCAAACCACAACTATGAAAGAGTAATTTGTGTGCTTATACTTTATTGAATGTGCTTTCTGTATGCTCGTTCTCTGTTAATCAAATACGTACCTGTTGATTTTTCTGCATGTTACCCTGATGCTGAGTTGTTTGATGCGATATATGTGAGCTGTGGAACTTCACCTGAAAATCCGTATACTAGGATGCATGATGACAATCTCCTCTTTTCTGTTTGTTCATAATACCCGATTAATGTTGCGATACAGGTCTCGGATATGAGAAGCTTAGATCTCTTGGATGCGGCATTGAATTTGTAAAGTTAAAATTAGCCTCTTAGCAAAAAATTCCTGTGTTGCTGATTTTGCTAATTGGATATTGCAAAATAAACAAGTAACAAGTACTTATTTCTGTTCCGTAGTTTGGGCATTTCACTTTTCAGCATGTTGGGAAAATTATCCCAAAAAGTCCTAAATATATTGCCTTTTTATCAATTCAGTCTTAAATTTTTTAATTGTGCCAATTAAATTCTAAACATTTTTCACATTTTACCAATCGAGTCCATATAGACAATTTTGGCTGGAAAAACGCTAACGTGGACGTTAGCCGTCCTACATGGCACGGCTAGTGCTGACGTGAACAATTTTTAATATAAATTTTTTTGACGAATTTTTTTTTCTTTCTTCCTTTTGTTTTCCAACTTTGGCCAGTGAGGTCACTAATTGACCATTGTCGACCACAACTGAGGGCCAACGACCCTCACCTGGTTTGGGCGAGGCATTGCGGTCCTCATCAGCCACAGGCGAGGGTCTCTACTCCCTCACCGGCCAACAGGCGAGGGTGTCAACCCTCATATGGATCTAGGCGCCTCGCTTGGATTTGGCCGAGGGCGTCAGGGGCCCTCGCCCACCAACAAGTGAGGGTGTAAGCCTCTTCCTTACAACTTTCAGCTAATTTTGGACTCTAAATACCAAATACATCGAAAAATATACAGAACTAAGGATCAATGCGGCCACTCCAATCTCTCTCGTTGAGATGATTGGAGAGTGTAACACAGTTTTCTAACCATGTCGTGTAACATTTGCAGTGCCCTCATTTTCTGTCCATCTTTAACAAGGGCTCAGGTGGAGATTAGTTATCAGTCTCATATGAATTTGCTAGTGTTCGTAACTTTAGATGAAGTTCCTGAAGTTATCGTACATTCTTTTTCCCGAATCTATCAAAAAGTACATATGTAGCTAGTAGATTTATTGATCATTTTCAAAATCTCGTGTGACAACAGCCAATTGGAAAAGCCAATTAGTGTGAGACCAAAATACAAGTTTTATATTTGATGATGCGGTTCCAAACTATAAGAGACACACACACCTCCAGGTCGTCCAAAACTTCTGCACGACTTGCCTCGGAGGACACAACCAAGAGAAGGCAACAAAATCTCACCAAGGAATGATGAAAGCTGAGAGAGGAAGAAGAAGAAGAAGCACTCTGTGCCATCTTTTTGTGATCAGTCTTTACAACTTTCTGATCAGGTTTATGATAAAGTTGTTCAAAAGTCTTTGCTCATGAAATTCTACAGTCCAATCTCGCTCTCTGGCCAAACAGCAGTTTTCACTGTAGGTCTCAATTATGTTCATAGATGCCATTGGTGATGACCAATGAAGGGGGAACTGAAGCGGAAGATGAAGAATGTGGTATTTGCGCCGTTTTCCTTATTCCTAGTTAGTAATTCAATCTTCCATTTGCCTCAATTGAGTTGACAACAAATGTGCTGAAAATCTCAGAAAATCGGAAGGGAATGTCTTCAAAGTTCAAACATAACAGAAGGAATGGTGAGGATTGTAGCTACCTCTGCTACCAGGACCTTCTCATGTGGACTCCGGTGCCGCCTCCTCTGTGGTATGATGACTAGTTCATTAAATGCCAAAGTGCTAATTTCCAAGTCCACTCTATTTATTCAGTAGTATAAGCTAGCACAAGTTCATTTTTCTTACTCTCACATCAGCAGCATCACAATGTCTGTTCTTCCAATTCCCAAGGAAATGAAGGTTTTTTTCTTTTTCTTTGCAGGGGTTTCTACAGATAAATTGTGGATACTCCTTGCAATAACCGTTGATGATCGTGGTGTACATGATCAAATCTAGCTCCTAGTCTCTGAGTCTTCCAAATTCTTCAGCAATCGAACCGCTTTCCTAGTATTGCTGGTTCTGCAGAATCCCTCGCTATGGCTCTGCACGTGGTTATATCTACCTCAATTCGTCTGGCCAACATTTCATCTGCCAAGCTCATGGCTTCGGCAATTCTACCCTCTCCAACAAGCCCATTGACCAAAGTGTTAAAGCTCCCAGTTGTGGGTTCAAGTCCAAGTTTGACGATTCCACACAAAACTGAGGACCGAAGATTGGACCTTTTCAATTGGCAGAGGTAATTCATCAAAATGCTGCGGGTAAAAACGTTAGGAGTCGTTCCTTTCGAACCCATCCGCTCGATCATGTCAATGGTGATGGCGTAATGCTTCATATTGGCCACAACCCCCCAAGAGTCGGGCGAAACAGGTAGGTGAAGGCAGAGGGTCCACTCTAATCGTCCTCTCCAAGTAGAATAAGGCATCCTCAGCTTCCACCAATGCGCCATTTCTGCATTGGTTCACCACAAAGGCCACAAATTGAGATCGATCCATTGAATCACTCCCTCCAGTAGTAGATTGGGATGAATAAGTGAGAGGCTTAGGGAGATCCCCAGATTCTCGAACAAGACGGTGAAGAGCACAAGTGCAAATGGATCGATTCATTCTCATCAGTTTCGCCAAATTTTCTCCTTCCGAGTTCCGAGAATCCACAAATTGACGTGATGGTGTTTGGAGAAGATGATTGTTAGGCAGTTCAATCACCGAAGAACATAGTTTTCCGTTCAACCTTTGAAAGCTACTTTGGTTGTCAAACTGAACATTCCTAGAAATACTTGATCCATTCATTGTCATCAGTTTTGCCAATCTTATTGTCTCTCTCCGAACAGGTGATTGAATCTGCAAGGCAGTTGAAGAGAGGTCAGTATGCATAATCATGCTCTTTATACTGTTGTGAAAACAACCATGAAAATTCACATCTAAAACCAAATAATAATGGATTGAAATCTCACATGAGGACGACGGCAAACACTGGCGAAATTGACGCATCGCCGATTGAAATGAACCTTTCTAGTCTCACTACTATCGGCTGAAAAAAAGAGAAAATAATGTGAACGTTTCTACTACTGTCATTGTGTGCATCGAACATACTTTTAACATTATACCAATTTAACATTTTGCTATTTTGGTCCATTCGACGCTTTCTTAGTCATCGAGTGAGGCAGGCATCCCAGCTCATATGTTGCAAAACGATGTCACAGGAATTTTTTTTATATCTGTATTTGGGCCAGATGATTTACATATGAAGTACGTACTTTGTGAAGGAACATTATATTTCGTTTTTCTTTTCCTTGATGACATAGGACTGCTCATTTAGTGGATAAACTCTAAACATGTGAACACTAATTTTAACTACAAGATCATTTCGAAAGTCATGGCCAATTGTCTCAAACCATGGCTACCTAAACTCATTGCCACGGAACAAAGTGCCTTTGTGAGCGGCAGGCAAATTCAAGACAATATTCTAATAGTTTAGGAGGTACTTCATCAGCTGCACATTCGAAAAAGGAAAAGGAAATTTCAGGTAGTCCTCAAACAGGACATGCAGAAAGCATATGACAGAGTCAAATGAAATTTTTTATGTGAATGTATGCTGCAAATGGGGTTCTGTGACAACTGGGTGAAACTGATTAAACAATGCATCTCCACGGTCTCCTTCAGTGTGAGAGTCAATGGGGAATCTCTGCAACAATTCCCACCCTCTCGAGGTATAAGGCAAGGGACCCGCTATCGCCTTTCTTGTTCATCATATTAGCCAATGTACTATCCTCTTTATTGAACAAGGCAGTATTGGATGGTAGCGTGAGAGGTATTAAACTGAATAGCTGGTGCCCGACTCTATCGCACTTATTATTTGCTGACGATGCTATCTTCTTTCTAGATGGGACGATTAGAGAATGCCAGAATGTGTCAAATATCCTAAACCAGTACTGTTATGGTTCTGGGCAGGCTATCAATTTAAACAAATCCGGAATTTTCTTTACAAGGGCTATCCTGATCAACTGAAGAGGAATATGTCGGGCGAGCTGAGAGTCCCGATCATTGACAAGACAGGCAAATATTTAGGAATTCCTTCTGATTGGGGGCAATCAAAGATGCAAATGTTCGCTTGGGTCCTAGCTAGGGTCAACATGAAACTAGAAGGTTGGAAGGAAAAACTAATGACAAAAGCGGGCAAGGAAACTCTTGTCAAGACAGTAGTTCAAGCACTTCGTCAGTGTGCTACATCGGTATTTAAAATTCCTATCTCAATATGCAAGTCGATTGAGAAGAAAATTGCATCCTTTTGGTGGAGACAAAATGCAGCCAAAGGACGAATCCACCGGAGGAAATGGGAAACGTTCAAAACTAGAAAAGACTCGGCAGGCTTAGGATTCAAAGATCTTGTAACTTTTAACAAGGCAATGCTCGGGAGACAGGCATGGCGCATGATACAGGAACCGAACGCTTTATGGAGTCAAATGATGAGAGGCATTTATTTCCTGCAAAAGGATTTTTGGAACGCTAACAAGGGCCACCGTCCTTCCTGGGGATGGCAAAGCTTATTGGCAGGTAGAGAGGTGATTGAACCCGAAATGCGTTGGCTTGTGGGAGACAGAAGGAGTATTAATATTAGAGAGGACAAATGGATACCACTAGGTAGAATTGAGGGTCCGGCGAACCATAACGACCCCCAACTTGTTGTGGAGTTGATAAACTAGGAAACCAAAGAGTGGAACATCCTGAAGCTAGCCAAACTTTTCAACGACGATATAGTGAAAGAGATTTTATCTATCCCTCTTAGCCCCAACCCAACAGCAGACAAGTTGATCTGGACAGGTAACAAGGCAGGTTCATACTCGGTTAAGAGTGGATACAATAGCCTATGCTCCCTAGGAAATTCTCGTAACGCCAACCAGGCGTCACCATCATGACAGCCTCCCTGAATACTATGGACAACAATATGACAGCTCCACACCTACCTAAAGATACAGTTCTTCCTTTGGAGTGCTTGCAACAATGCATTGTCAACTAAGGAAAACCTATTTGGAAGGAAAATGGTTCCAGACCCAGTTTGCCCAGTTTGCCGTCTAGCCTCGGAAACTCATGAACATCTACTCATCCTATGCGACTGGACAAAACACATATGGTCAGATCCCCGACTAAACTGCGATATTTCCCCAGCAACAGTACAAGTGGGTTTTAGAGAACTTATCTGCCCGAGCTGACCCGTCCTCGAGAGCCATCTGCGACGGTGTCCTATGGTCAAACTGGAAGGGGAGGAACGATGTGGTGTTCCGAAACCGAAAGCCGAACTCAAGCCACCTCATTGAGGAAGTGGTTAACTCATATAAGCTCGTTGTGAAATGGAACCCCAGCAAAGGAAATCGAGCTCGGGATAGTAGTTTACTTACGGATCGATGGATCCTACTGCCTGATGGCTCGTGGAAGCTAAATGTGGATGCGTGTTGGTGTGAAGGGTCGTGGACGGGAGCTATAGCTAGGGTGTACCGAGACTCCAGCGGGCTGTTGATTGAGGGTTTTGCGAAGAAAATCCATGCTCCGTCGGTGTTGGCAGCGGAAGTTCTGGCTCTGCGAGAAGGACTGTCATCTATGACTAAGGCTCCGTTCGCTTGACGGAAAATGACCCATTTCTGGAAAATATTTTTTCGGAAGTCATTTTCCGGGAAAATGTTTTCCCTGGAAGTCATTTTCCTGTGTTCGGCTGAAATCTGAAAAAGTTTTGAAAAACATTTTCCGCCGTTCGGCAAGTAAAATATTTTCCAGACTTCACCACTTGGGCATGCACTTGCCTTTTATGCATAGGATTTCTAGTGAGCTTAATGCAAGCATCATCGTAGAAATGGTTGCAATTCTTGGATCAACTCGCTGTCACCTAGAATGGAGACTCAACACAAACAAAGCAAACAGAGCAAACTCATATGATTCCAGAACGATGGCATTTTTGGATCCACTCGTTGTCACCTAGAATGGAGACTCAACACAAATAGAGCAAATGAAAAGTGATGTCTAAAGATCTTGATAGTTTAAGATTTCGACAATTATGCATAAACAAGAAAGATATTAGAACACTACCAATCTTACCAAAATGAGGTATTGGACATTCTTCAGAAGCCAAATTTTGATTAGCTAGACATGAGGAAGGGAGAAAATTCACAACTTCATATCCAATAAACAACATAGAATCACTTCACAACAAAGGGTAAGCATTCTTTAAGTTAAAATGCATAGTCCACACTGAGATCACTAGTCATAGAAAAACCAATACAGACCAACCATACATCAAACTTCATCTCTCGGAGTACTAACACTAATAATATAAAAAGAAACAATACATGAGTCTTTTGACAACAAAGCTCTACAAAATATGTCATTGTTCTCCTTTGGCTAGAAATTTATCAATCCACACTTTCTTAAGATTCACACTCTTCACCATGAATGCTTTTCCAATATTTTCATTCTCAACTAGGTAATCAAAAACCGAACCAAGGGAAACTTCATCATAACCATCCACCTTCATCACCTCATTGTACAGTTGAGAGTAATTGATACCGCTTTGACCAAGTGATTTAATCGTCAATGCCATCTCTCCAAGTTGTTTTGAAAATGGAGCATATTTATCATCATTGTCGGAACATCTTCGTCTTTTGTGGGCCCTCTTTTCCGAAGGCACGGTAGATGAAGATGTTTTTGATCCCTTCATCAACTCATCAAAGTCATCGTCTAAATCAATGGGTGAGGAGTCAACTTCCGTTACATCAACATCTCCGAGCTGCTTAGCAAAGCTTCCGGTAGCCATATCTCTCCCAACCACCAAAGACATCTCATCATACATATCAATCATCTTATTTAGATACTTCTCATGAGAAGGATGGACCTGTCAATCCAATACAAATAATCCATAAAAAGTCAAACGAAACAATTTAGATCGTCGTAATATGCACAATATTCATTCAGTTATTATAAGTGAAATGGAGAGAATTTGAGCTATTTTGAGTAGGCAAACATAACAAAGATTCAGTTTGCCCCACCACCAAGCTTCTTTTGCCCTAATTATTCAAACAAATGAAAAGTGATGAGAAAAATTACCGTCACATATTCATCAAATTCCTTTTTTCCAGCTATGATCATCTTCAAATTGTCGTCCCAATTGAATCCACTCTTGCCACGTATCATTTGAATTGTCTTCCAATTGCTTTTCATTGTCTTCAAATGGTTCTCAACATGTTCGGGCTGACAATGAACGCCAAACCTCTCACTTATTGTATCGACAACTCGAGCAATTGAAGAGGGTTTGAATGCGCTCGAAGGCTTGTTTCCTTTACTAGCTTCATCGGCAAGAATTTCAAGTAAAACACGTTCCATAGGCTTAGACCATCTAAATTGCTTGATCTTCTCATCATTTGCCTTACTTTTACCCATCATGATTAGGGGTGAGCATGGTCCGGGTTGGGCCGGTCCACCCCCTAACCCTAGGACCAACCCGCACAGTGTTGGTCCTCAATTTTTGGGACCGAGGACCGACCCTATTGAGCCTAGGACCGAGGACCGGACCGACCCAATGGGTTCGGTCCGGTCCAGGGTCAACCCGGGACCAACCGATAATTTTTTTATTTCATTTTTTGTACCAGGTTTAACCCGGGACCAACCGACCCAATGGGTTCGGATCGGACCGAGCGCGGCGAGTGGCGAGCGGCAAAAGGCTAGCAGCGAGCGGGACGAGCACTTTCAATAACAAGACTGCAACCCACAAGATGTAAGGAAATTCACAGAAAGACTAGCATTTTCACGACCAAATCGCTAGCAAATGTCAACAAAGGGAATATGTTGTTGAGGAAAACTCCTATTGATTTTGAAGTTGACAAAACCTTCCATGTTATTGTAAATCTGATACTTATTCTGAACTCTTCTATTCCAGGAATGTATATATATTATGAAAGCTCAGAAGGAAGTTTTTCAGACTTTACAAGCTGGTAAATACATTATTGAAGACCCATATAATCTAAGTTACGAGACTCGACGCTGAAATTATTCGAGACGAGACGGAGAAATTTTAAGAAGCGGATCACGAAGCTGAAATTTTTCGAAGCGAGACGGATGCAGAAATTCTTGAATCTGAACTCGAACGAAAAACAATAGCTAGTGATCTGGTATGGATTTCACAGAAGGAAAGCTTTGATCTCAGACGCTGAAATTATTCAGACGCAGACGGAGAAATTTTAAGAAGCAGATGCAGAAGCTGAAATTTTTCAGAAGCAGACGCAGACGCAGAAATTCTTCAGATGCAGAACTCAGAACGAAAAACAATAGCTAGTGATCTGGTATGGATTTCACAGAAGGAAAGCTTTGATCTCAATCAAATTGATTGACAATCAAAGATTACGACAAGCATGCATAACAACTTCACAAGCTCCACATCAAATACATCCGTAGCTTATATTATATATCACACATGGGAGTTTGCAACAAGTTCACAATAGTCAGCAAGTAAACACAACAACAACTTTCCTATTCTCAGGAATCAAAAGAGCAAGCAACTTATTAAGCTTTGAGAGCTCTTTCACTTCAAGTTCCAACATCCTGAAAACAAATAAGTATAGATGAAACAAGTCTGAAATAATAGTGTTTACAATTTACAGACACTTTGTATTGAAGAATATGAACTTACGCATGAATAAAAGCAGCAAACAACTTCTCAGGCTTTGAGTGCTCTAAAACTCCAAGTTCCAACCTCCTGAAAACAAAACAACAATACGTATAGATGCAGATGATCACACAACATTAGTTATAAATTAGAACTACAAATTGAAATCAAACAATTATTGAAAAATCTCACCACATATATTCCTTTCGCTTCAACTTGTAAACTCTATGTACTGTTAATCTCCACGTTAACATGATCCATATCTAATAAAAAGAAGATATTAAATAAAGCATTCACTCATTAGATATATGAAATAATTACAAGATGAAAAGATATGGCCTTACCCAACTCAAACTTTTCCGCATTCTCGATGCACTCTTCAATATTAATCGGCTCGATAACCGCTCTCAACCAATCTTGAGTGCAAATCAAAGCTTCCAAGACTCTAGGAGTCAAAGAACTTCTAAAGCCATCAAGCACACGACCGGATGTACTGAAGGTAGACTCGAAGCAACGTGAGTTCTGAGGAGCAGGACAAAATATCCCGAGCCATCAAAGATAGAATTTTAAACTTTTGACCGGTCATGCTCCACCACATCAAAATGTCAAGATCGCGAGCCTCTTCAAGTTCAGCTTTAAGATACCGATCGAGTTCAGATAAGTTGCCCTCAGACTTCTTTTTCTCCTCATTAAGAAAGGCTTCATATGATGGCTCTTGCACGTAGAAATCCAAACCGCAATCTTCCCCTTCATTTCCCTCATCGCAATAAGGATCGCAACTACTACCAGCACTAGTAGAACTCAAAAGTTGACCACCCAAATTCTTATCACAAGACCCAAGAGAAGATTTCTCATAAAATTTAAACAAACGTTCCATGGCGAACTTCACCTTGTCAAACATCTCATCAACTATTGCAATATCATCATAAATGAGTCTACAACAATACCTCACATAATTCATTTTTTTTCTAGGATCCAATGCTACAGCAATCAACACCATCATATTCACTTTCTCAAAACTCCCATAGTATTTGTCAAACTTATCTTTCATTTTCGCACCCATAACTCTCACCCTAGGATCAAAAGCCTTCGCCGCTTCTTTCAGATAATTGAATAAAGAAGCTATTCCCTCAAAATAATCATTTGAAGTGATATACAAAGTCCCAGACATCTTGTTGGTTGCATCATAAAACTTCTTCAAAAATTTGCAAAGAATAATGGCATTTTCCCAATCAACACTAGTTGGAGTATCGGAGCTAAGCTCAGTTGAGAAAGAAATATCTTCTTCATCCATCCTTTCAAAAGCTTTTCTTAGCTTTATGGCGGTGTCTAACATTAGGTAAGTGGAGTTCCACCTAGTGGAGACATCAAGACAAACTGAACCCTTATAAGTGATCCTTGTTTTCTCAATGCAATCTTGAAATGCTTTAGCTCTCATGGGAGAACTTCTCACATACCTAACAACGTTACGAATACGTGCAATAGAATCGCGTACCTCAGCTAAGCCATCCCTCACAATCAAGTTTAATATATGAGCCGTGCACCTCATGTGTAAAACTTCACCATCTAAGATCAAAAGTTTATCTCTTGCAAACTTTTCTTTCAAATAACCAATGGCAACATCATTCGAACTAGCATTATCCACAGTGATTGTTGACACTTTTTTCTCTATTCCCCACTCGTAAATGCATTTCTCAACCATTTTCCCAATATCCCTACCCTTGTGACTAGGCAACACCACAAAATTGATGATTCTTTTGTTCAATTTCCAGTTTTCATCAATAAAATGTGCGGTGAGACATAAATAGTTCAAATTCTGAAGGGAACTCCATGTATCAGTCGTGAGTGCGATTCTAGAATTAAGCTTATGAAAGGAAGCCTTCAAACTCTTTTTTTCACAAAAATACAACTTCATACAATCTCTAGCCACCGTAAATCGCGACACATGCCTGAAGAGAGGCTGTAATTGATTGGTATAATCACGAAATCCAACATGCTCAGCTATCGAAAATGGTTGTTCATCAATTATAATCATTCGAACTAGCATTTCCCTACATTTCTCCTGATCAAACTTCCATGTCGTTAAAAAACTAGCACTTCCAATACTAGTATTTCCCCCTATCATTTGATTCCCACATACTGTATGTGATGCAAACAATTTTTGCTTCTTATCTATATTGCGAGGATACTTAGGGCACTTTCTCAAATGTTTCAACATAGTTGAAGTGCCATTATCAACATGGTACAAATACTTGGTCCCACAATAATTGCAAAACATTTCAAGTTTCCCGTTCGCGTCGGTTTGCCTTTACGAAAATGAAGCCAAGCTACGATTTTCGCACTAGATCGAGGACAAGAACCGGATACCTTATCGATGCCTCTTCAAAGTCATCTTCCCCTCCTCCATGTTCTAGTGATTCTGATTCAATTATTGGTGTTATCTCATCATAGGATTTCTCTACTTCCATTGACATGTTAATAGATCACCTGCTCAAATCAAGCAACATGTCATTAACGGATAAAATTTAAGGTCATCAAGATTCAAAACTAAAGCTAGAAAACCCATCTAAACGACTCCGAAACGCAAAAAAACGACGTCGATCACGGCGTAGCCGTGATAAAACTTATCATGACGGGTAGGCTTGATGGGTCTTGTTAAGCCTCCCAACCAGGCTTGAAGGTGAAAAAACATTGAGACCATATAAGAGCTCAAGCACTTGTCAACTGAATACTTCACAAAAAAACAAAAGAAATTTACCAACATAGCAAACTTAATCGAACATAAAATACCAAGAATACCAATTCTAGAACACCAGCTGACTTGAACATACTAGTGATGGTAAAAGAAAGCATCTTTTTGGGCATGGATGTTCCAAAATTTTGCCCTAAAGTTCTACCATCATGTTAACAAAAGTATAAAACTGAGAATCACTCGTGAGATACGAGAGCATGGCTCATAATCAAGGCAAGCATTTATAAAATTGCACAAGTACCAGAATGTTTTTCTTTTTATTCAGCAAGCTTGATGCAATTTAGCAATTGCTATTGTACACAAAACCAAACTTTCAGAAGGGTTCAAAACAAACCTACAAGATGCAAATCACCAAAAGAATATCGGCGTAAGAACAAGCTAATCTCGCTTGTGTTCTCGTTCGATTCTCGGTGTTTTTTTCTCTTGTCGGGATTTATTCAGCAAGTCCAAGAAGAAGATCTCTTAATCACTGGCTTCATCTGCTTGTCCTCTTCCAGGGAAATCATTCCCAAGTGCGAAGGATCCTCCAGCATCATCTTCGCTACCAAATATCCTGCTATAGACCATGATTGGTACTTTCTTGCTTGCTTGCCAACATATCTACCCGTTTTACCATCATAAAACAGAGATGCTACTGAAGACCCATCTAAGTGCATCATTTTGTAAATGACTTTTAATGGGTAGTTTCTCCAACTAAACTACCCATTTACAACCCACTACCCAGAGCAGCAAATGCAGAGGAAAAACTGGCGAATTTGACCAACCCATGTCGAGAATCGCACGAAACAGAGACGCTACTGAAGCACCGAAACATGCGAAAGAGGAATTCACACGAAATAGAGATGCGACTGAAACACGCGAGGAATTCATGCAGCATAACATCCAAAGCCCAGCAAAGTGCGTGGGTTTCTTCGCACACGTACACCCCCACATTCAGGCGAAACGAAGCCACACCCCGCAGAAAATCGAGAGAGCAGCAAATGCAAAGGACAACCAGCTAGAGAGAGATAGCGAGAGAGCAGACCTGGCAGTCGCAATGGAAGAGACGGAGACGGAGACCGGCGGACCCGACGGAGACGGAGACCGGGCGATGGAGACAGAGACGGTGAGAGTCGGAGAGGAGAGAGTATCGGAGATTGAGACTTGAGAGGCGTCGACCAAGAGTGACTGAGTGAGCTTGTGTTGTGAGAGAGTATCCTGATTTAGGGTTTTGAATTTTTTAAATTAAAAATTAAAAATATTATATTATATATATTATACCGGTCCGGTCCGGGTGGGCGGGTGGGCGGTT